TTGAAAGGCAATCTATGATTTAGGCTTGGTGGCCAGGACCTGGGGGAGGAGACACTGGCCCAGGCCGTGTCCCAGGGGCCTGTCCCTGTGCTGACAGCTCCTGGAGCCCATGCTGTATGCATTTATGTATGTTCCACTGTACTTGCGTGGTTTCTTTCCAAAGGTCATTTTTTTTTTCATGCCAGGCAGTGCTGGGACTTGAACTCAGAACTTGGGTGCTGTCCCTGAGCTCTTTTGCTCAAGGCTGGCACTCTGTCACTTCTGGCTTTGTGCTGGGTCATTGGAGATGAGTCTCAGACTTTCCTTCCAGAGGCTGGCTTTGAACCTTGATCCTCAGACTCAGCCTCCTGAATAGCTAGGATTACAGGTGTGAGCCACCGAGTACTCCAGCACTGGGCTAAACCACAACACTTGAGTGTTTAGCATATGCCGGCTTTCTCTGTCTCTGTCTCTGTCTGTCTCTGTCTCTGTCTCTCTCTGCCTGTGCCAGCTCTTCATCCCATCTCTTCTTTCATCCTCCTCTCCCTTTGGGTGTTTTATGTAATGGCTTGATTTGAACTCAGAGCCTGGTCTCTGTCTCTTAGCTTTTTCACTGAAAGCTGGCACTTTACCACTTGAGCCACAGCACCACTTCTGATGTTTTGCTGATTAACTGGAGATAAGAATCTCCCAGACTTTCGTGGGGGAGGGGGCTGGCTTCAAACCTTAACTCTCACATCATCTCAGCCTCCTGAGTAGCTAGGATTGCAAGCATGAGTCACCAGTGCCTGGCTCAGAGCAGCTATTTTTATAAGATGAGCGTGGTTTTGGGTGTGGCCTATGTCTCCTCTTGGTCAGTGTCAGCTGGAATGTTCTGATAGTGAAGTTGTGTACTTTTCGCAGTATCCTTCCCTGAAGCACCTCATGTCTGTCCACTTGGAGAAGTTGGTCATTTTGGTATCTGGATTCAACTATCCTCTGGATAGTTGAATTTTCTCCCTTGCAAGTAACCAGCAGAGAGGGGACAGCACGGGGTCCAGTCAGCTCCGGCTCCTGCTGACTCCGCCGTGTTAATCTCTGATGGACAGGAATGGGTGTGTGCTCCCTGCCTCCTCCGCCGTCCCTGCCACCCTCACCCCTGTAGGCTCATGGATGGAGCCCCATCGTAGTTAGCAAGTTGGGGTCTGGGGGCTTGGATACCCCCTTCCTTGTGTTCTACCCCTCCCCCACCCCCAGGAGCCTCACAGAGTGAACCTCAGGACTCTTGTTTTGTTTTGTCAGTCATGGGGTTGAACTCTGGGCTTGGGTGCTATCCCTCAGCTCTTCAGCTCAAGGCAAGCGCTCTACCACTTCAGCCACAGCGCCACTTCCAGTTTTCTAGTGGTTTATTGGAGATAAGAGTCTCACGGACTTTCCTGCCTGGGCTGGCTTTGAACCGTGATCCTCAGATTTCAGCCTCCTGAGTAGCTAGGATTACAGGAGTGAGCCACCGGCGCCCGGCAAATCTCAGGACTCTGGTCCCTGCCCCACAGATGAGGGATGTGGGTGGATTCAAGAAAGAAATTTCAGGCCAGGCCCTAGCTACTCTGAGGCTGATATCTGAGGAATGCAGTTCAAAGCCAGCCCAGGCAAGAAAGTCTATGAGACTTTTTGTTTTTTTGGGGGTCAAGTTGTGGGGCCTGAACTCTGGGCCTGGGCGCTGTCCCTCAGCTCTTCAGCTCAAGGCTAGCGCTCTACCACTTGAGTCACAGCGCCACTTCTGGCTTTTTTCTTTTTGCTTATGTGGTGCTGAGGAATTGAACCCAGGGCCTCAGGCATGCAAGCCAACCACCTTCCCAGCCCAGTCTATGAGACTTTTATCTTTAGTTAACCAACAGAAAACTAGAAGGGGAGCTATGCCTCAAAGTGGTAGAACACTAGCCTTGAGCAAAAGAGCTCAGGGACAGCACCCAGCCCCTGAGTGCAAGCCCCAGGATCAAGAATAAAAATATAATAAAAAATAAAAGGAAGTTTTGAGCCGAACCTAGAAACTCAGGGGCGAATCAGGTAGGAAACACAGCGTGATGCTGGGCTTAGTCCTGGAGTCTTAGATCCCCCCCCCCCACACACACACGTGCTCACTGTGTGTGTGTGTGTGTGTGTGTGTGTGTGTGTGTCCTCTGTCACAGGCTGTCCCGGGGCTGTCAGTCAGGGCACCGTGTGGCATGGCGAGGCAGTACACAGCGTTCTGCACAAAGAGCAGCAGTCCTGCTCCAAATAAAGACATTGCCTTAGGAACGGGGGCTCCCTGTGGGGGAGATTAGGGCATGGCACAAGCCATGGGCATGCAATGGGGTGGGCAGACTGCCACACCCACGGGGCGTGGGAGGCAGCTGGAGAAACATCAGAGCCACCGATTTTCCCACTGGGGTCTCCAGAACAGGCTGGGAGCACCCCGATTCTCCGGAAGCATGAAGGACACTTGTCAGCTTTAAACAAATTCATTTGCCTGCTGAATATCAAAGAGCTCCCCCTCGGGCTACCTCGCTGAGAAACACAGCAGCAAAGGACTGCATGGAGGATCCTAGGAGGGAGAAAGGTCTGCTAAGTGTGCGGCCCTGCTGCTCCCTTGCAGGGAGCCGTGGGTGAGGGACCCCCCTGCCCTCTCAGATGTTGCTGCATTGAGAGACACTGGGGAATCAGGTCCTTCCCAGAGCCACAGCCACCTGCTCTGTGGCTGGTTCTCCATGGTGACATTCGCAGCCCTACTCTAAACTCAACTGTGCACATGGTAAGGTCGGCTTTTCAGCAAGACTTCTAGCCACCAAGGAGTCCTCCTACAGTCTCCAGTTCGAATCCTACCCCTGCCACTTACTACTAGCTATTTCCTTGGAATAAGTGATTGAATCCCTCTAAGTCTTTATATGTACCCGGCTCTAGGGGACCTTTATCTTCAGTTAACCACCAGAAAACTAGAAGGGAAGCTATGCTTCAAAGTAGTAGAGCACTAGCTTTGAGCAAAAGAGCTCAGGGAATAGCACTACTTAGTCCCCTAGTTCAAGCCCCATGACCTACAGGAAAAAAAAAAAGAAAGAAAGAAGAAGAAATCTATCTTGCTGGTGGTCTTTATGAGTCACAAAATGGGCTGGGCACCAGTGGCTCATGCCTATAATCCTAGCTTCTCAGGAGGCTGAGATCTGAGGATCAGGGTTCAAAGCCTGGGCAAGAAAGTCCTGAGACTCTTATGTCCAATAAACCACTAGAAAACCAGACATGGCACTGTGGCTTAAGTGGCAGAGCACTCGCCTTGAGCTGAAGAACTGAGGGACAGTGCTCTGGCCCAGAGTTCAAGCCCCACGACCGACAAAAAAAAAAAAAAAAGGCCTGGGGACACACATAAGGAGAGGGTACTCAAACAAGAGGCAAAGGCACCTTTACTCTGGAGATAACTCATTAATCCATTAAACCCCAAGTGGATTAATCCACTTCTCAGGGCTCAGTCCTCCTGACTAATCATTTCTCAAAGGCCCCACCTGCCCCCATCTTAAATCCTCACAAGGGGTTGAAGTTTCAACATGAGTTTGGTGGGGTGGTCAAACTATAACAGTAGGTTCTGGTGTGTTCTTTCACTTCTGTCTTTGTGTGTGTGCGCGCACGCGCACGTGCCAGTCCCAGAGTTTGGGCATTGTCCCTAAGTGTCTTTGTGCTCAAGGCTAGTGCTTTATCAGTGCACTTCTTGGTTTTTTTTTTTTTTTTTTGGTCGGTCATGCAGCTTGATCTCTGGGCTTGGGTGCTGTCCCTCAGCTCTTCCTTCAGCTCAAGGCTAGCGCTCTACCACTTGAGCCACAGCGCCACTTCTAGTTTTTCTAGTGGTTTATTGGAGATAAGAGTCTCACGGACTTTCCTGCCCAGGCTGGCTTTGAACCACGATCCTCAGAACTCAGCTTCCTGAGTAGCTAGGATTACAGGCATGAGCCACTGGTGCCCAGCCCACAATACACTTCTGACTTTTTCTGAATAGTTTATTGGAGATAAGAGTCTCATAGACTTTCCTGCCCAAGCTGGCTTCAAATGCTGATCCTCAGATCTCAGCCTCCTAGTAGCTAGGATTACAGGTGTGAGACACTGATTACCAGCTCCCATATTACATTTTCGATTAAGAAAACAACAGAAATTGAGTACTGATGGCTCACACCTACTTTCTCAGGAGGCTGAGATCTGAGGATCATGGTTCAAAGCCAGATTGGGCAGGAAAGTTCATGAGACTTTTATCTCCAATTAACCACTCAAAAACAGAAAGTGGGGGCTAGGAATGTGGCTTAGTGGTAGAGTGCTTGCCCAGCATGCGTGAAGCCCTGGGTTTGATTCCTCAGTACCACATAAACAGAAAAAGCCGGAAGTGGTGCTGTGGCTCAAGTGGTAGAGTACCAGCCTTGTGCAAAAGAAGCTCAGGGACAGTGCGCAGGCCCTGAGTTCAGGCCCCAGGACTGACAACGCACACATACACCAGAAAGTGGTGCTATGGCTCCAAGTGGTACAGTGCTAGTCTTAAGCAAGAGAGTTCAGGGACAGAGCCCAGGCCTGAGTTCAAGCCCTAAGGCTGTTTAAAAAAAAACAATAAAATAACAGAATATCATGACTTGGCTGGGAAAGTAGCTCAGTGGTAGAGTGCTTTGTCTTGCATGTATGAGGCCCTGGGTTTGATTCCTTAGCACCACATAAGCAGAAAAAAACTGGAGGTGGCACTATGGCTCAAGTGGTAGAGTGCTAGCCTTGAGTTGAGGAGCTGAGGGACAGCACCCAGGCCCAGAGTTCAGGCCCCAAGTCTGGCAAAAAAAAAAAAAAATTATATCTATATCTATCTATCTATATAAACATGACGTTAGGTCTCCCTATCCAAGAATAGATTATGCCTATTTATTGAATCTTTTGTTGTTGTTGGTCATGGGACCTAAACTCTGGGCTTGGATGCTGTCCCTCAGCTCTTCAGCTTTAGACTAGTGCTCTACCACTTGAGCCTCAGCCCCACTTCCGGCTTTTTCTGCTTATGTGGTAGCTGGGGAATCGAACCCAGGGCCTCGTGCATGTAAGGCACGTGCTCTACCACTGAGCCACCTTCCTAGCCCCTTGAATCATTTTCAAAAACTCACATATATATTTCTTAAAACTTACTGTTTTGTTCAAATGAAACTGGTACATATTTTGGGGGGAGGGTTGGTCATGAAGCTTGAACTTGGAATTTTTTTGCTGAAGGATAGTGCTTTACCATTTGTGTGTGTGTGTGTGTGTGTATGTGTGTGTGTTGGTCGTGGGGCCTGAACTCTGGGCCTGGGTGCTATCACCCAGCTCTTCAGCTCAAGGATAGCGCTCTACCACTTGAGCCACAGCACTACTTTCAACTTTTTCGGTTTATGTGGTGCTGAGGAATCGAACCCAGGGACTCATGCATGCAAGGTAAGCACTCTACCACTGAGCCACCTTCCCAGCTCCTAGTGCTCTACCATTTTGAGTCACAGTGCCACTTCTGGTTTTCTGGTGATTGGAAGTAAGAGTCTCACAGACTTTCCTGCCCAGGCTGGCTTTGAACTCTGATCCTTAGACTCAGCCTCTTGAGTAACTAGAATTACAGGCATGAGCCCAGTGCCTAGCTTGGATTGTTATTTTTTTTTGGGTCCGGTCGTGGGGCCTCAACTCGGGGCCTGGGCGCTGTCCCTCAGATCTTCAGCTCTACCACTTGAGCCACAGTGCTACTTCCGGCTTTTTTTTTCAGCTTATGTGGTGCTGAGGAATCAAACCCAGGGCCTCAAGCATGCAAGGCAAGCGCTCTAGCACTGAGCCACCTTCCCAGCCCCTTGGATTGTTATTTTAAAGAGTTGTTCAAATGGGTTACAATTTCACGTCAGGTTACATGAGTACAATGCTTCTTGGGCGTTTCCCCCCCTTCCTTCACTTTTGTTTATTGTTTTGACTAATGTCTGGAGGAACAGAGTATGTGAGAAAGTCCTGATTTTTCAAAAAGCGTTTTCTTGGTTTCCAGTCACTTCTAAAGTTTTCTTATTGCTGGTAGATTTCCCGTTGTTTTCCTTTGGAACTAAAGTGAAGGCCGCTGGTCTGTGGCTCTGGATGCTCCTTGGATTTATTAGTTTATTTTTCTTCCTCCTCTTCTTCCACCTCCTCCTCCTCTTCTTCCTCCTTCCCCCTCCATCTTTTCCCATCCTCCTCCCCCTCCCTGCATCCTTACCTTGTAGGCACCAGGCAGACCCTGTCCCCTCTTCCCTGGGGAGCAGAAACCCGACCCTTATCCCTCTTCTTTCTATCCTTTGCTGGAGTCTTCTCCCGGAAAGTCACGGGTTGCATTCTGTCTCTTGGAAGCTCCAACAGTAGGGAAGGGAACCCAAGTTGACTCCAAGCCAGGTCCTTAATTGGATTGGATTTCCGTGGCCATTAACAGCCGGGTGGAAAGGAACCCCCGCCCCCCCCCCCCCAGTGGTGAGCCATCTTGGATGGCCTACAGCCTAAAGAAGCTATGAGATTAGGTTTCTAGTGACTGTGCCCACCTCTAATAGTATAAATATGGTAAGTGTGGCAAATCCCTGCTTATTTATGCCACACATTTGTGGTTGTTTATTTTTTTTTTGTCGGTCGTGGGGCCTGAACTCTGGGTCTGGGTGCTGTCCCTCAGCTCTTCAGCTCAAGGCTAGCGCTCTACCACTTGAGCCACAGCACCACTTCCGGCTTTTTTCTTTTTGCTTATGTGGTGCTGAGGAATCGAACCCAGGGCCTCAGGCATGCAAGGCAAGCGCTCTACCACTGAGCCACCTTCCCAGCCCCCACACATTTGTTTATTGAGGACCTACAAGGTGCCAGACCTTGTGCCAAGCCCAAACAGCATCTTGGTTAGCAGAGCTTGTATCCAAATACCCAGGCCAAATTTCTTAAGTAGGGAAGCCAGTAAGAGCTATGAAGAAGAGTAAAACAAAGTAAAGGGATAGAAGTGGGGAGGACATCTCTGATGAGATGACAGTTGCATAAAGCCCACAGGAAGTAGACAACCAGATCCACGATGCTCTACGCAAAGGGAACAGCAAGTGCAAAGGCACTGGGGCAGGAATTCCCTTGGTATGGTAGAAGGACAATAAATCTCTTGCCACCACTTCTGTGACTCTTGTCCATCACTCAGCTTAGTGACCACAAAAAATAGCCCCGAGTTTAGAGAAAAATATTTTTCACGAGATCACGTGAATCTCCTGAAAAGGGAAAAAAAGATACACAGGGAATGTGGCTTCGTGGCAGAATTTCTGCCTAGCATGCATGAAGCCCCGGGGTTCAATTCCTCAATACCACATAGACAGAAAAAGCTGGAAGTGCCACTGTGGTTCAAGTAGCTAGAGTGCTAGCCTTGAGCAAAAGAAGCTTAGGGATAGTGCTCAGGCCCTGAGTTCAAGTCCCAAGACTGGCAACAAAAATAACACCAACGAAAAGAGGGAGATATCCATGGCTATATTATCTAAAGGCACAAGAGAGCCAGGCCCTGATGGCTTATGCCTATAATCCTAGCTACTCAGGAGGCTGAGATCTGAGAATCATGGTTCAAAGCCAGCTGGAGCAGGAGTCTGTAAGACTCTTATCTCCAATGAACTACTGAAAAGCTGGAAGTGGCCCTGTGGCAGCACCCAGGCCCTGAGTTCAAACCCCAGGAGACAGACAGACAGGCAGACAGACACACAGACACAGACACACACAGACACAGACACAGACACACACACACACACACACACAGGTAATGTGAGTTATGAAGGACTGGCCTGCCCTGTTATCCCAGGTGCATACTCCAGGTATGCATGGCCATGCTGGACACAGGCAGGGCACTCCGACCTAAGCCTCACTTAAACACTTCCTTGTGGGCCTGACCAAAAGTCTCCACCTCCCCAGCCCCAATAGCTTTTTTCATGACCTCTGTCTCCTTGCTCAGACCCCAGAAAAGTCCAACTCCAACCTCACGTCCTTTCACAACCTCTGATCCCAGGGAAGGTTGTTGCAGCGCCCTTGCTGGGCGCTGGTGGCTCACGCCTGTAATCCTAGCTACTCTGGAGGCTGAGATCTGAGGATCATGGTTTAAAGCCAGCCCGGGCAGGAAAGTCCCTGAGACTCTTTTTTTTTTTTTTTGTCAGTCGTGGGGCTTGAACTCTGGGCCTAGGCACTGTCCCTCAGCTCTTCAGCTCAAGGCGAGCGCTCTACCACTTGAGCTACAGCACCACTTCCAGTTTTCTGGTGGTTTATTGGAGATAGGAGTCTCATGGTCTCTCCTACCCGGGCTGGCTTTGAACCACGATCCTCAGATCTCAGCCTCCTGAGTAGCTAGGATTACAGGCGTGAGCCACCAGCGCCGGGCTGAGACTCTTATCTTCAATTCTTATCTTTCATTAAACTAGAAGTGGTGCTGGGGCTCAAGCGGTAGAGTGTTTACCTTGAGCTGAAGAGCGCAGGGATAGCGCCCAAGCCCAGAGTTCAAGCCCTACGACCAGCAAAAAAAAGTATCTCCTCTCCTCTGTCCTATGTTTGCTAACCTACTCTCTCCCTCCAGGGAAGGCCAGATCTACAAGGAAGCTGGCAAAGGTTGGAGCGTCTTTAAACACCACTGGTCAAGTTAAACTTCAGCCAAACATATGGTTAAGCCTCAATTGGCAGGATTTTATAGGATCTAGTTCACATGGTAGTGACAGAATTCAAATTCAAAGCCAAGTAGAAAATTTCCATAGTGGAGGTGACTGGCATCAGACAAGATGGGTGAGCTTTAATCATGTGATAAGAGAAAACCCCAGGAGAGAGAGAGATTCAAAGGCAGTGTTTGAAAGCCTGCCGCCAGGGGCTCAGGCCTGTAATCCTAGCTATTCAAGAGGCTGAGATATGAGACTGTTTTTTTTTTTTTCCTTTTGCCAGTCCTGGGGCTTGAACTCAGGGCCTAGGCATTATCCCAGAGCTTCTTTTGCTCCAGGCTAGTGTTCTACCACTTGATCCACAGCACCACTTCCTGCTTTTTTTTTTTTTTTTTTTGCTTATGTGGTGCTGAGGAATCAAACCCAGGGCCTCATGCATGCAAAGCAAGCGCTCTACCACTGAGCCACCTTCCTAGCACCCTCCCCCCATTTTTTCTCTCCATCCAGTTCAAAATGTTTGCATCTCTTAATAGCTAGTATTCTCGGCAGTGATCACCTATTTTTTTTGTCGGTCCTGGAGCCTGAACTCTGGGCCTGGACATTGTCCCTCAGCTCTTCAGCTCAAGGCTAGTGCTCTACTACTTGAGCCACAGCACCACTTCTGTTTTTCTGGTGGCTAATTGGAGATAAGAATCTCACAGACTGGGCTGGGAAGGTGGCTCAGTGGTAGAGCGCTTGCCTTGCATGCATGAGGCCCTGGGTTCGATTCCTCAGCACCACATAAGCAAAAAGAAAAAAGCCGTAAGTGGCGCTGTGGCTCAAGTGGTAGAGTGCTAGCCTTCAGCTGAAGAGCTGAGGGACAGTGTCCAGGCCCAGAGTTCAGGCCCCACAACCGGACGCAAAAAAAAAAAAAAAAAGAATCTCACAGACTTTCCTGCCTGGACTGGCTTTGAACTTCAATCCTCAGATCTCAGCCTCCTGAGTAGCTAGGATTTCAGGCATGAGCCACAGGTGCCCAGCATCAGTGAGACTCTAATATCAAATAAACTACCAGAAAACTGAAGTGGTGCTGTGGCTCAAGGGGTAGAGTGCTGGCCTTGAGCTGGAAAGCTGAGGGACAGTGCCCAAGCCCAGAGTTCAAGCCCCACAACTGGAAAGCAAAACAAAACAAAACAACAAAAACCCACAACTTTTTTTTTTTTTTTTTTGTCGGTTGTGGGGTTTGAACTCTGGGCTTGGGCGCTGTCCCTCAGCTCTTCAGCTCAAGGTGAGCGCTCTACCCCTTGAACCACAGCACCACTTCTGGTTTTCTAGTGGTTTATTGGAAATAAGAGTCTCATGGACTTTCCTGCCTGGGCTGGCTTTGAACCATGATCCTCAGATCTCAGCCTTCTGAGTAGCTAGGATTACAAGCAAACCCACAACTTTTTTTTTTTTTGTCGGTTGTGGGGCCTGAACTCTGGGCCT